TACGAATTCCACAGAACGATTAGTGTACATTGTACAGAACTGCTTAGTTTTTCATAATCTACAAAATTGGCAGAGTAGTAGAATGTGCGGAGATAGCATTACATGCTTTCATATTTACATTAGACCAGCTTGTTACAGAGATTTGGCTTATTGAGATGCAAACCAAGCAACCAGGAAGTGAATAGTGCCTTCAAAGATCAAAAATGACCAAGAGGGAATGATTGAAAATTATGGAGATCAGTATGATCATTTCATAGCATGCTGGGCATATTTAGGGATAACGAATCATTACATAAAAGTCTTATTCTCATTTTTGTGCCACTTGATAAAGCCATCAGGGCATATAATTAGCAAAATCGATGTCATTGTCAAAGGACAGGGGCGCATATGAAGCCGATTTGGCCCATATAATATTTTCAGTCAATTTATTGCCCATCCTATGTGGAAAAATGTGGCGATTCTTTTGGCAATAAATTGAAGTCAAACTGTAAGGATTATAAGCTATTTTGAGGGAGAATACCTGCAAAAAAGTATTGAAGTTTCATTGGGCTCATAGTTGTCTGGTATTAGCTCAAAATATACGACTTTTAGGCAATATTTCAAGCTCAATCTATATTGGTTAGAAAGAGCATTTAATTCTGCATCGTTTCATGTAAGAACTAATATTTTTTCATTAAAAATTTAATCATGGAAAATACTGCCCTTTCACAGGGGTATTCTTCGGTACCTCACATCCGAACAATAATTAGAACTGTTTGACATGCTTTTACGTGTAAGACAAGTTTTTTTATATGCCATTTGATAGAGCGAAGAAAGAGCTACAAAATGACACATAATTTATTTGATTTCAACATGGGCCACTATATCGGAAGTGTTCATGAATTGTTCTGGAGCATGAAAAGTACACTTTTCTGCTCATTATTAAGTAAATTTGATAAGAATAATTCGACTTTTGGTAGATGAAAACGGCATATTTTAAATCAGCATAAAAAACTGGCTCGATCCATATAGTTTTGAAAATTTTTTGAGTACTTTTATTTTCGTCCAAAAATTCAACTGGGGTCCCCCTCAGGGCTAGGTCAAAAAATGAAATCGATTGAAACGCCATTCGGACTGTGAAAAACAAGTTTTGCAGTTCTTAAAAGTTAAGAAAATTAAAAAACACAAATGAATTATAAATAAAAACACCGTTTTAATGGATTTCATTTTTTGACCTAGCCCTGAGGGGGACCCCAGCTGAATTTTTGGACGAAAATAAAAGTACTCAAAAAATTTTCAAAACTATATGGATCGACCCAGGTTTTTATGCTGATTTAAAATATGCTGTTTTCATCTACCAAAAGTCGGATTATTCTTATCAAATTTACTCAATAATGAGCAGAAAAGTGTACTTTTCATGCTCCAGAACAATTCATGAACACTTCCGATATAGTGGCCCATGTTGAAATCAAATCAATTATGTATCATTTTGTAGCTCTTTCTTTGCTCTATCGATTGGTATGTAAAAGAGCTTGGCTTGCACGTAAAAATATGTCAAACAGCTCTAATTATTGTTCGGATGTGAAGTACTGAATAATACTCCTGTGAAAGGACAGTATTTTCCATGATTAAATCTTTAATGAAAGAATATTAGTTTTTATATGAAACGATGCAGTATTAAACGCTCTTTCTAACCAATATAGATTGAGCTTGAAACATTGCCTAAAAGTCGTATATTTTGAGCTAATACTAGACAACTATGAGCCCAATGAAACTTCAATACTTTTTTGCACGTATTCTCCCTCAAAATAGCTTATAATCCTCACAGCTTGACTTGAAATTATTACCAAAAGGATCACCACATTTTTCTGAATAGGATAGGCGATAAAGTGACTGAAAATATCCTATGGGCCAAATCGGCTTCTTATGCGCCCCTGTCCTTTAAAAAAAAATATATTTAGCAAGTGATTTAAGTACAAAATTTCTAATACAAGAAATGACACCAGCAATAAAACGAGTATTAAAAAATACTGGTGTGATACCGATCCTTCAAGATGATCAGAATAGCAAACATAGAAGAACGATTGTGATGAATACTGTTGATTCTTTATTTGATGAACGTATTGATTCTGCAATAAGTTATGCAAAATTAGCTGATATTTGACCAATAGAAAATGTATGGAGTGCAATTAAAGAAAAACTGAGAGGACAACAATTTGATAATGAATTAGAATTGAAAAATCAACAGATACAACAATGGAGAATAAATACATAAGCATTGATGAATATTTTTTTTTATTGATTGTTTAAAAATTTCGACTTATAGATCTGTTTTCGAGTCTTATTTTTTATGTAACACTATAATCAAATGTTAAACATATACTCAGATATTTCTGAAAATATTTCGATTTTTTTATTATTTTGATAATGTTTCCTAGGATGATGAAAACAGTCGGCTTAACGGCCAAAAAGACGACGTATACTGTTGTTTGATACAGTTCGCAGTGGTAAATATCCGTAAATTGACGTTTGGGTAGCGACAGTATTACGGTCGTTTTTTGTTGTATCGTATACGGTTAGTAACGGCCTGAAAATCGAGTATCCAATCGTTTACACTCATTTTCAATACGATCAAAAACGGACGTTTACGATTGAGCTTGTCTGACCTGGGTTGTATGTCGGTAACAATAAGAAGTAGAAAGATGAAATTCTAGCATAGAGTAGATCTAGACATCTAGTATATAAATTGTAAATATCAGTCTCTTCGACTTTAGGAACATGCAAGAAAAAATTTTACACGAAAGCATCAGAATTTAGTATATACCCTTTATGGACGAGTATGCTTAAAACGATCAATTGGAACAAAATAAACACATTTTTTCTGCTCAAGATGAAATAATACTCTGTGCCTTAACGAATGTCTAGATCTAATGACCCATGTAGATTCCCTTTTTGTTCTGCTTGCTACAGTCTTTGTTATTTAAAATATGAGTTTATATCAAAAATTGAAATAGTTTTTAACGTAAAAAAACTGGAAAAAAAGTCGGAAAGTTTCACAAGTCACAGAAAATATCGAATCACATATCGTAGCTTCGGTCATCACGAAACTTAACATTTTTTTCTAAACAAACAGCTTTTGTGCACTGTCTTGTATACATCAGACTTTCAAAGTTTTGTTTCAATTAGCAGATTTACTAGCTTCCTTTTACAAATAAAAGCCATCAAAAACGACTATCGCACTACTTGAACTGAACTGTATTTATGCATATCGGCGACAATAAAGAGTTTAAGATAGAGTCCTGAGGGACAAACTTTTTCGTGTCCCGAATTTTTTCGGATGTCCCGTAAAATTCCGTTTGTTCCGTTAGCTCAAAGACGACTAACTGAACAAATTGCAGTAGCCGGATTATTGCTTCTCATTCGTTTTGTTGCCATCACAAGTCCTTCTTTAGTGTGGCTTATCATCTTCTTCTCGAAACATTAGCCACGGCTCATGTCAGTCACTCGTTCTCCACACCTAGCTATTCTTTCGAAACGAAAAAAAGTTCGCCAAGATCATGAAAAAGTGACGAGTGTACATCTGAAATCCGTTTTTCAAAATCTCGATGCCGTTCAGGATTTATCAAAACGCGCAAAACAATAATTAACAGCTGAGAGTTTCCTTGTACGGTCATACAAGACTCAATCTAAAAACAACATTGATATTTCAAAAGCTACATGCAATAGTTTCATTTTGTGGCAATAGGTGGTACAGACTAATTATTTCTTAACTTGTCATCTGAGCCAAGATAGCTGAACGCGACTGAAGCTCACTATGTGTTTCTCTCAAGGGGGTGAATAGCGAAATTTTCGAATCCTAGAATTCCAAGGATTCTCTATCGTATCTTACGAAATTCGGCAGAATTGCATAGAATCCAAATTCTGAATTCCGTATAATTCCATAGAATTTGAGGATTCCAGAATTTCGCTATTCCCTCTTGGTTTCTGTGCAAAAGTCTAAAATTTAGAAATAGAAGATGTCGTATAGGATCGCACTGATGTTTTTCAGGCTCTTGCAGTCAGCCGTTTTTTTCTATTGTGGGTTTGCTCAAGTAAAAATCGAGTTTTCTCTCTGTTTCTTTTCTCGTTTATCTCTTTTAATATTAAGATATTTTCATACACATAAAAAAATTAAAATGTACGGCACGTTTCAACATAAGAATTGAAAAAATTTGAGACATTCTTTTTTTTTCGATATTGTCCCGATCCCGATTGTCCCGCAGGTCTCTGGTTTAAGGTCGATTTTAATTGGTAGGTTAGTACTTGAAATGAAGATGAGTACACAATTAATTATAAGATAAACCAGTATTATTTTTATAGTGAATGTCAGGTTTATTTCTTTCTCGGTCAATAATTTACGGCAATTGTTGCAAAAAACCAACCAGTATTCATCTTTTTATAGGTGTTTGCTAATGCATGATCAACCTTAAATAGTTGATAGCTACTTATATTTACATCGAGAGAACAGTTAAAACATTGAACAGAAACTTCTCTAATATTCAATTGCATGAGTAGGAACATTTATCACATGACTTTCTTGTCCAAGATACTCAAGTTCTTCATGCAAATGAAAAAAACTTTGACTCGGATAACTTGAAATGTAATATAAAAATATAGAATAAAAACTAGTAAATACTTCCATAAACTCATTTTTCTTTTGTAAAGAATGAAAACTTTACGGATACAATCAATCAAGCTAAAACTTTTACCATTGATACTTGAAAGCATTCTCTAAATGTGCTAATCTTTACATATTTCTCTCATGAAAAGAAAAGAAAGTAATTTTTGGAAAAGCTTAAACTTACCTATAAGATACAGTTTTTGATTTTCGAATCAGAAATTTTATTATAAACAAATTTTTGTTTTTTCTTTTATTATGACTTTGACAAACAAACAAAAATAATCGATAGTCATCATTTCATTTAAAAAATAACTTTTTATGCGAAGTACATATTTACAAAAAAAAAAAAAGTTTCTTTTATCTATTGCATAAATGTTGTAAGATGACGAATAATACTATGTAATAAATTTTTCATGGATATGCGATTAATTAAATGTTGAAAAAAGATTTTATCTAAATTGATTTGAATTATTTTTTCTTGTATATTTGATAATAACATAAGAAGTTCAGCTAAACGACGATATTTGGAATTTTTTGTATATTCAGTTAACATAAATAAAGCATCTTTATGATATTTATCAATTTTTAAATGATCATGAAGTTCATGACGTTTCGCTAAATTATAAGAAGATAATTATTTACAATTTCTGAGAAATTATTTAACTTACGATTATTAAAAATAACTATTAATTTAAGAAGTGTATATTCTGTTTGATCAATCGAATAAACCATTAATTCCTTAACTATTGATTGAAATAATAGATATTGATTATCATTATCATATGAATCTATATCATCTAAAATAAGAAAAAAAGAAAAAAAAATATTATTCAAGAAAAAACAAAACATTCAATAAATTACTTTGATCAAGAAATTTTTTCATTTCAGCTGATGTTAAAATAAATAAAAAAGACCACGATTGTTCAATTAATTTTAATTGAGTATATTCATTTAATTCTTTAAATGATGGTACTAAATAAAGCCAACGTATTGATTCAAGTAAAACAAATGAAGCTGTTTCACATGTAACTCTGAATGAATTATCATCATCTATAACATCAAAAAACAAATTTTAATTAAAAATAAAACAACTCTGAAAATTTTACTAAGCGATATTTGTGTTTCATCACTATTTGAAAAATCAGATGAAATTGGATCCGATGATGAACTGCATTTAGATATATTAAAAGATTGTTGTGGTAGAAACATTTGAGATGTAGACCATATTGGTGATGATGTACTAAGTAACACACAAGATAACTTACATTTAAGAATAGTCCTTTCAGATTTATGCTTCTACTAATTAATTAGAATAAAATAGAGCTGGATAAATACAGGTTTTGTCGAGTATATACTCGTACTGTCCAGCTCTTGTATAAAACAACTTACCTAATAAATGAAATTAAATAAACAAACAACTACTTACTTATTCACAGGTAAATTTCGGAAACCAATTGGCATAGTCACTTGTAGTGACTCTGCTACATACCCGATAGTTGGTGGTGTCCAACATTGTACTCGAGGAAGTGAAGAAGTTGATATTACTCGTTTAGATCCATGACGTGGTATTCGTTCATTTTGTACAGCTTAAAAAAAGAAAGATCAATACATATTTCATTACTATAAAAGACACTTGAAAAACTTTTTGTTTTTTTGGTAAGTATAACAACTAGTCAAATAATTCTTACCATTAGGTTTCATTTTAACAGCTAAACAACGTTGAAAACGACATGCTTGACATTGATTTCGTCGATTGACATCAACTTGACATATTGAATCACCTTTACATTTATATTCTATTTTACGTCTATTTTTAAAAAAAGTTTTAACTCAAAATTTTAACTAAATCAAAATTTTTACCGAACACTTCGTTTAAAAAATCCTCGACAACCATCACAACTCATAACACCATAATGTTTTCCACTTGCTTTATCACCACATACGGAGCATAAAGATATATGACGACGATTTGTTGGAACAGTGTGAATAGGTGATGATGACATCAATGAAGCAACGTTATCTAAATTAAAAAAAAAGAAAAGAATTTATGTTGATCTCTCTCTCTCTCTAATACAGCAGGATATCGTTAATTGACCTAATTGAAGTGGCACAAACCTTATTGTCATCATTCGATTACGTTCTCACAAGGTGACAAATACTTTCAATTATGAAAATGACACCTGCTGATCGATACTAATTCACTTTAATGTACCGCATTATTTCACAGCTTTTCGTTTTCTTTCTTGAGTTACATCATTATGTTAAATCTCGTATATACGATTCTGTTAGCAGCTCATCTTTTGAGCAAGCTGAGAATCGAACAACAATTTGTTTGATCCTTATGAAGTCAAGTGAAGATGATCCATAAGCTTTAAAAAAATATACATATTCGGTGTCTTAATGCGATCTTTCAACAACAATTATGTCACATTTAAATAAAAAAAAATTGGAATGTCTTAATGCATATGCAATGTACACGCGCGCATCCACCCAGCAGACATGTTTTTATAAATGCTTTTTGTTTTGTTTTTTTTTCGCAAAGCGACACAACAATTGTGTCATCGTGTGATAAGACTTTCGTTTTTCGTGCGAAATTTGCCACCATATACATTTCTAACTCATTCTTTATGTTACGCTTCGGTAAATTGAGGAAAAAGATAGAAAAAATCGATAAGCATACGATCGATATGGAATGATCATTTTTTTCTTGTTATCGATATTTCACAGATACAAAAAGATTTTTCTGGTATTTCACACTATTCATAACGAGATAAGGAAAGCAATAAATTCGATTCCCCACGATTTGAATGGAAAGAAAAAAAACTTAGTTGAGAAATAATTTTTCTTCAAGATTTCTTCGTTTTCTATATGAAACAATTGCGCAGACTCTCTAATGAAAAAGGAATAAAAACTGATGGATATTATCTCGATTATAGACTTGAAAGAAAACTTTTCGCTCATTTACAGAGATTCTATGATGACTTATTCCGATAGAGGTTATCGTCTTCTTTCAATTAAGATTATCTTTGATAGAAAATAATCTTCATTAATCTAGGAAATAGTTTTATTACTGAGTCACACGTTAAACTCAATAACCTATTAAACAGCGGTAAAAATCTATGGAAAATATTTATTTTGTAAATTAATTCTTGCTTAAAAAACCTCTTTCTTTCGAATTATTTTTCGAAACAAAAGTTCATCAGTTTTTAAATCTAAAAATCATTGATCTATATTATATGAGAAAATAACAAATAACTATACTTACACATTCTTTTTAATAAAAAGAAATGATCGGCATGCAAAACAAGATTATCGAATGTATATGTCAATAAAACAATATGAACACTTAATTGACTATGTAGCTTTATGGACAATAAGTAGAGAAAGAAGAGGGAGGAGAAGAGAGAAAAAAATTGATCAAATATGCAATTGAAAATAAATATTTGAACCAATCGATGAGAAAAGACTATTTGAAGAAAAAAATTTGAAAATTTATCCAATAAGAATGCATCATTATTAAACATTTTCATAGAATTAATTCGAAAAGATTTTTATTGAAACTAATTGTATCCAATATGGAAAGAGATATAATTATTTTTTTTGTAATAATTAAGTATGAGATGAATATTCAAGAACATATCTATAGTTGTCACAAGTGAATCTGACATTAAGCACAGGAACATAATTTATGGAAGCGCGACATCCTCGCACAACTTTTGAAAATTGTCCACATAGAGCTCTTCTGTCTGGGACTGAATTATTTAGCTATCCTCCAGTGTTACGTAACGCCTTGGATTAACAATTGAAGTCATAAGTATTTATTTTCATGAATTGCATAAAATTTGTTACACATCATGCAAACATTATCGACAGATAATAAAAAATTGTTTTTTTTTTATTATTTCTGCCGAATTTCATGCCAAAAAATCCATAATACATGTTTCTATAGCATTTTCGAAACCAATTCTGTCAAGAATAATTTCTATATGAAGTGAAACAACGGTGATAGAAATGATTTTACTATTATATCGTAAATAAAGTAGAATATCTGATGATCATAGATGATGAAGTGGTACAAAATATAGAAGAATTAGAAGAATAAAATACACAGAATAATTATCATTTGAAAGTAAATTAAAGAATATTCAAACAAGAAGAAAAGATGCATTTTTAAAAAAATAATTATTTGATGTAGCTTTTTCATAGTATAAATAATTTTTTTAGTTTTGCGAATCAGTAAAACTATATTCAGAGACGAAACAAAATCAATTTTTATTGTCGAAAAATGTGATATGTATGTGAAAGTACTTATTAACTTATTTCATTTTAATATGAAAAGCTTGGAAAGTAGCGCTATATATAACTTGATAATAATAAAGAAAGAAAACGAAATATATATGAATCAGAACTTAAACCATGTACGAAAACGACAATGAATGTCTACCAATACCTCGACGGTAATATTCTAATAAAATATTGAAATTTTTTATTTTAAATTTCCATTTATAGTTCGTTAGTTAATCGAATAACAAATCATTTTGATTCCGATAATGAAAATTCTCCTTTCGAACAACGACAATCACGTTTACTTCTTAACACCTCTAATAGTACAGATAGTGGTGTTGATGAAAATATTCAAACACCTATACAATTAATTGCTTTATATGAAAAAACAATTGAATTAGCTGCAAAAAATAAAATCAATGCAAAAAATGCATTTCACTTTCACTTTGTTGAACGATTACCAGAAATAATAGACATTATTGCATTTGATGATAAAATAGATTCTTCTCATGATCATCATGAACCCAATTTTGTTAAAGCTGGATCAGTTATTGATACAAGGTAAAGAAATAAATTTTTCATTTATAAAACTTCATTTTTTTAATGAAATTTTCCTTAGTGCAAAAATTTATGGATATCGTGTTGATGCTCTTTATACGGAAACACAAAAACTTAATGGAAATATTCAAGAAAAAGATGAAGAGGAATCAAATATTACAAATTCTGATCAAATAGAAATAACAAAAAAACTAACGCAACGTATTAAACCGAAAGCAAGTTCTTATCTCGTTACAGATTTATCAACAATTTCAATGCCATATGAATTTGAATTTCATCCATTTCAACCGTCCAATATGTGTCAATGGCCTGGTGGTGTTGGAATTGATTCATTATATGCCGATATGATTTCATATACAATGTATTCATCAAGTGATTATCCTCTTATAAATGGTTTCGTTAATTTAAATAGTCAAATTAATGAAGAATATAATGATAATGAAAAACTACTTGATATAACTTCGAAAACCATGTATGACTTAACTCCATTACGAGAAGTTATTAAAGACAATGAAGGAAAAGATCATGCTCTTGGTAAAAAAAAATAATATATTTTTAATTAAATTAATTAATTAAAATTTTTTCTTAGGATGTCAAACATTACGAGAATTTTCATTTAATGAAGATTCAACAGAATCTTATATTGAAACAATTGATGAATGTTCAATTATTGATAGTTTATTGATGAATTCATTCGATAATCATGAAACATTAGATGAAGCATGTAATAATGATTTAAGTGAAGTACGCGATGATCCATCGACTTTCTGTTTTCAAGAACTACAATCAGCGCATGTAAATTACTCTAATTGAAAAAAAAGATTTTTTCTTAATTTGGAAATTTATTTTAGACTTTTCCAACAACAATGATATCTATGGATATGACATTAATGCATAGTAAAGTATCATTTATTGATCAAATACCTCAATTACTTCGTGACAAGGTAAATTTACAATTATAGAATGAGTCTTGTTCTGTCTAATCAGACTAATCAAGTTAAAAAAATTTCGAATGCGATTTCAGTTCAGTTTTTTACAGATTAAATATAATCGAATAACAGATAGAGATGAGAAGTTTGATATAAAAAAATCCAAGTTCAGGTTCAAATTTGTAGATCCTTATTTCCAATAATATGAAGCAAATATTTCTACTTTTTCAAACTATTAATTTAAATAAAAGCATAGGATTGAAATCTTGTTGAAACAATTTATTGTACTTGAGAACAGGTCATATAAGGGAAAAGTGATATTGTTTTACTGAAAGAATTCGTTTTTGAATGAAAACTCATCTAAAGATGATGATAAATTATATGACAAATTAACTGAATACATAGAGAGAAAAATGAAATTAATAAGAAAGGTGAACATGTAGTATTGTATTAGAGAAAGCATTTATGTGTGTATCCATAATACTGACGTTTGGTACTAACACTGCATTCCATTTCAGCATTATTAACAACAAGTAAACCTATACTTAGCAGGTTTGGCTTCGATTAAAATTATGGAACTACTTGCTTGGGTGACATTGTTTGCTCACTGTCAACCATTCTAGATTTTTACTTTGAATAGATACATTCCAGTATGCTTTATTTAGATATGGAATGAGACTTCCTCGGTACTATTGCCAAGTTAGATAAAATAAATGCTTATTTCAATTCGTATATTTTTGCCTGACATTGTGTTATCGTTATTTGTAGATTAGAGTTGTGCTTGAAGATTATACAAGCAAATAGAGATGCTTGTTCACAACACTTTTATTAAAAAAAAAAAATTTTATTTCAGATATGATACTGTTGATGAAGTCGAAATAGTTTGAAGACGTCACCTAAGTTGAATACTTTGGATGCAAAATTAAAAAATATAGGCGAAACTGATTTTTGAACGACGAATTCCAATAGATGACAACTTTTTCGACAAAATACCACATTTGTTAGCAGTTCTGAGGATTATTTCATGACATAGAAACATGGTGGCAAAAGTTTTCATATTGTATGTTTCTCTGTAATTAAATGATAGACCGAACTAGCAAATGTTTTTTTTCGTCGGGACAGTGTCTTTCATTCGAATTCATTGTCCGAAAATCAGTTTCGTCTATATTTCAAATTCTGCAGCAAATATATTGAACTTAAATAATGTTGTCAAGCTTTTCTGCTTCGATCAATAAGAATAAAATATACTCGAATGTATTTTGTCATATGGACTTTTCTTGTCGGAAAAATTTAGAGTAGCCAAGACTAACCAAACACTATTACTCAAACTGGTAATTCTATAACTTTAACTAGAACTATAGATTTTACTGTCTAAAGCGTGAATGTCTACGTCAGACAATGTTAAATCTAAGAAAATATTTATAGATATAGTATTTTCAATGAAATTTTTTTTTTTAAATTTTACAGACTGATTTATCAGAATATAGTTATTTTGATTCTCTTAAATTGAAATTATTTGCTGGACCTTATTTATGGAAATATACAAATCTATTACCTGATATAATTACATCTGTTTCAATATCTAACCAACAAACATCCATAAATCGTACTCGTATTTATTCAGCACGTCGTTTTAAATTGAATTTGTTAAATGAAAAGCGAAATCAATCATTAAATAAATTAATGAATTTTAATTTATTGAGTAAAAAATCATTAAGAAAACGAAAAAGAAAAATTTTATCAACAACACTTCGTCCAACTCGTAAATATTATTTACATGAAAAAAATCATTATCAATTAAAACTTTCAAGAAAATTACGTCCATTAACGGATTTATCTTGTTTAAATTATTTTCCTGATTATAATCTACAAAATTTATTCAATACGAATGAAAATTTTTCAATAGATGATGAAAATAATTATAATTTCGATTCAATGGATTATGATAATCCGTTGTCTGAACAACCTGAATATGATTTTAGTCGTCCTATACAGTATGATAAAATTGAGTATGATAAAAATTTTGCTAGAATTGACGCAAAACAACTTCAAATTGAATTATATGATGAATATAATCGTCAATCTACAAATACATCAAATCCCGTATCATTATCAACATTATGTGTTAAAATGATTGATCAAGGTATGATTTCATATGAAAAAGATCAAATTGTATCTGCATTTTATTGTATGTTAAATAATTGTAATAAAAATCATTTATATATGAAACCTAATTCACAAAATGACGATCTTATTATACAAAAACAACCGTTTGTTGATTCTACACAACTTATTTATTCACGTTCGATAGTTTGATTTTTTTTATTATTATTATAGAGTGCATCTTTTTTTTTAGTTATTTTTTAAAGTATTAATATAATCAAACAAAAAATAAAAATAAAAAAGAGTTATCTGTTTGTTTCGATTGTTTGATTTAATTTGTTACATCGGCAGAATGTTGTGAATTCCTCAGGAACACCAGAAAAATTGAGTTTCGA